CCTAAAGGAATACCCTTTCCGTCCAATGTGAAATGCTGTGGTGTTTTGTGAAATGCTGTTGTGTTTTCTGAAATGCTGTTGTGTTTTCTGAAATGCTGCGGCGTTTTGTGAAATGCTGTTGTGTTTTCTGAAATGCTGTTGTGTTTTCTGAAATGCTGTTGCGTTTTCTGAAATGCTGTAGCGTTTTCTGAAATGCTGCGGTGTTTTCTGAAATGCTGTTGTGTTTTCTGAAATGCTGTGGTGTCTTGCACTTCCGGGCCACCGTAGTGTGATGATCTTTGTTGAAAAAGGTCTGATTGTCCTGTACATGTACAATGTGGGGTATTTTTAAATACTTTACTAAACCACATTGAATATTATGTTAGACACAAGTTATTACTCACATATCAAAGTCTTTTCATCTGCAAGATGGAAGAATAGCTGGGTGCTGCCTGGAGAAACTGATGAGGAACACAGGCTGGCGTCAGCAGCTTTCCACACAGCCATCACATCTTCTCTTCCATAGTCTTTACTGTCCACTGGTGCTCTGTCAAAAGAGTGAACATCACAGCTGTCATGTTAACCCTTTGTTACACAACATACAACCAACATGCGTCAAAAGTGACCCGAATTAGTTTTAATTGTAAATATCTTTGCAATAAATTACTTTAATCATTCAGGATTCCAGGTATTCCTCAATTAACCTGTTTTGGATCAACACCAAATTTTAATTTTTCCTTTCTTACTTTTTGAATACAAATCATGTTTGTATCACTACACTTCACAACATGGGTAAAAAATGATCCGTATTATTTTGCTATGTTATTTCATGCATGGCTGAGTGTTTCTTTACTATACATTTTCAAATCTATTCCTTTAGTCATTAATATTCAAAGTATTAATTAAATGCCTTGTTTTTGATTACCACAAATCATTATTTTCATTCTCCCGTTCTTAAATGATGAACTAAAATAGTTTAGGCCAAGTGTGATAAAAATGCAAAAAAAATACATACTATAATTTTAGCAGTGATTTGGACCAAGCATGTATGATGTAGTAATACAAAAACTATTTTAGTTCACAGTGTGTAGTAGTTCACTACTGCTGTGAAATCCTTGCAATGTTTAACAATGTTGTTGTGATATTACAGAGGATTTCGATTGCAGTATTTTATTGTGAAATAATAGTTAAATGCTGTGAAATCCAAGGATACAGTCCTTTTTACATGTAAAAAAATACATACTATAATTTTAGCAGTGATTTGGACCAAGCATGTATGATGTAGTAATACAAAAACTATTTTAGTTTACAGTGTGACATTAGCTAGTCATGTTAGCTTGTAATATATATACAATATTTCTCTGTAATATGATACTCTTAAATGCTGTGAAATCCTTGCAATGTTTACAACATTGTTGTGATATTACAGGGGCTTTTTATTACAATATTTCTCTGTAATATGATACTCTTAAATGCTGTGAAATCCTTGCAATGTTTACAATGTTGTTGTGATATTACAGAGGATTTTGATTGCAGTATTTTATTGTGAAATAATAGTTAAATGCTGTGAAATCCAAGGATACAGTCCTTTTTACATGTATTTGTTACATGTAAAAAAATACATACTATAATTTTAGCAGTGATTTGGACCAAGCATGTATGATTTAGTAATACAAAAACTATTTTAGTTCACAGTGTGACATTAGCTAGTCATGTTAGCTTGTAATATATAGAGCAGAGCTAACTAGCAAGTTAGCTAAACGTTAGCGGTTAGCCGTTTATGCTATGCTAGCTGTAACTAGAACATAACTATAACTATAACTGAACATTAACTAACTGGATTCCGCTGTAAGAAAGCTGTGAAACTTTACAATAAACTTGGCGACAACACTGTGACACCCCGCTGCATGTTTATGTGTAATTATCCCGTGTTGGAGACGAGAGGGTGGCGCAGCAGCATTGCAATAAGCTGTAAACTAATGTTAGCTGCCACCTGTTAAGCCCGGGCGCAACATCTTGCAAGAAACAGCATCTCAGGGCTTCTTAACATTTAACAACCTATTAATCATAACGGGAAGAAACTCAGCTAACCAGAAGAAGAAACATAACCTTAAATAAAAAATAAAACATTCACAAATTAAGGATATTCTAAATACATGTTTAACTCCATTACAGTCGCAGGACTCACCAGATCTCAAGTCTTCTGTTCTTTGTTGACGACGTCCCGATGCTCATATTTAACGTGTAGATGTAAAACGATCCCGATATTAATCCATAAACTCCTGCAGCAGAAATACAGGAGACCCGCTCAAACTGACGTGGATGTTTCAAATGTGAACGACAGGCGCAGACAGTTCTCATTGGCAGGTTTCTTCGATGACGTTTATATTAACCAATCAGGAGTGTTGTGGATTCATTCCAAACATGCCTGACTTGTCTGCCGTGTTATGGCTGAATTCCATTTCAAGTGCCGTAGTTCTGGCTGTCGGCCAGAATCCGAAAACCATACATTATACTGCATGTAAGACTATAACTAACCCTTATTACTGTATATTGACCAATGGGAAAAAAAACACAGCAACATAACACATAAATAAAATAAGGATAACTGTGACTTATTGTTGAGTAAATAACAGTGTGTGTTTTAAACCTTGGTCCTCCCTGCAGAGATTTCTCCACTTTCTATGATTTTTTTTTTTTTTTTAATGATATTGTCAACTGTAGATGTTTACAATATAGTAAGTTAGGAATTTCATGAAAACATATTTATTTTTACTTTTGTTTCAACATTGGATATTTTGTGTTTGTGGTGGATTCAATCGAATATTGAGAAAATTATTTATGTAAAAATGTTTGACACTTTTTTTTTACAGTTTCATGTGTAGGTACCTTAAAATTACAAAGAAATATCTTAAAGTCTTATAATAGTAATACACTTTTATATTACGAGGAGTTACATATTTAATTGCAGATAATAATTTAAATTTTACATACATCTGCATGTATTTTCTGAAAGTGCAAAAATACTGTAAATATGATATAGTAAATTTACTTTAAAAAAAAATGAAATAAATGTTATTTGTTGTTGTCAAAATACTTAAAATAATGTTTTGGGTTGTTAATTTATAGTTCATATCTATAATTTTACGGGATTTTGCAAGTTATTTAAAAATACATAATTACTATAAAAAAATAATTATTTCCTGTAAAATTAGGATATTTTTTTACAGTGTATAGAATGTCTCAGTTCAAATCTTCCAGACGGTTTGAGAAGTAGGCTATGCTGCAGGACACACGCCGGTTAGAATAGTCTATTCTGCACATGTGCAATGCTGCACAATTCAAATTTTACAGTAATGGGTTGTGCTATTACAGATGATTTTGAGTACAGTGCTTTACTGTGAAATAATAGTTAAATAATGTCAAATCCAATTTTACTGTAGTTTTATAGATATTTTGTTGTGATATTACAGGGGCTTTTTATTACAATATTTCTCTGTAATATGATACTCTTAAATGCTGTGAAATCCTTGCAATGTTTACAATGTTGTTGTGATATTACAGGGGCTTTTTATTACAATATTTCTCTGTAATATGATACTCTTAAATGCTGTGAAATCCTTGCAATGTTTACAATGTTGTTGTGATATTACAGGGGCTTTTTATTACAATATTTCTCTGTAATATGATTATTAAATGCTGTGAAATCCTTGCAATGTTTACAATGTTGTTGTGATATTACAGAGGATTTTGATTGCAGTATCTTATTGTGAAATAATAGTTAAATGCTGTGAAATCCAAGGATACAGTCCTTTTTACATGTATTTGTTGGGATATTACAGGGGGCCTTAATTACAATATGTCACTGTAAAATAATACTGTTAAATGTTGTGAAATGCTGGTAAATTTTTACAGTGTACTTGTGATCTGAACACAACTGTTCTCGGCCTCCATACATATCCAATACATTTTCACTCCACCAACAATATTCATTAACCTTTAAATGTGACTTTTTAATTCATGACAAGGGGCCAGCCCTGAAAGACAAGGAACAGACATGGTTTCCTTGATATCAAGTTTTATGTCGATGTATGTGTCGATTCATGTGACACAAAAATGAAAACTTTTAAGCTATATCCCACTGATACACCAGAAGATGATGTCATCCACTTTCTATTTGGTTACATTTTCAAGAAACTGCTGAAATACATAAACATTAGATTACACATCCAATCCAAGTCATTCTTATTGTATCCATGTATTACAGTAATGCAGTGCTGTTATGTAAACCTTTACAAAATCCTGCAGCCTACAAAGACCTTGGCATGTAGTCAATGTTACTATCTATAAATGAAGGTAATGTATGTGTACAGCGTTATGTTAACCATGGACCATCTTTATTATGTTTCATGGAGAGCATGCCGCTCACATCATAAGGTTAATGGATTGATGCGATGGCTGCCGGGTATAAAACCCCCTCTCCCTTTAATGCAGCAGGGTCTGTAGCACTGAGTTAAGTATTCAGTTACATAGCCGGTGAATTACCTTCATGCTGCCCTTGTTGTAAAAAATCAATGGCAGCATTACTCACCAATCTTTGTAACTGAGAGCGGGAAACAATACTCCACCGGAGGGATGCCAAGAGGGGGGGGGGGGGGGGGAGAAAAGGGGGAGTCAAAGTCATAGAAAAAAAAGCTTGTAGCGGTAGCCGTCTCTTTTGTGCTTGTGTGCAGTGCCGTTTGTGGGTCAGCAAAAAAGTCCAATGCTCACTGCTGCTTCTCTCAGGGAGTCTCTGTGGGCCAAATGATTCATTGTGCTCTTGCTTTGAAAGCAGTAAATGTGTGGGCAATTATCTGTGACGAAGCTCTGAAGCAAGTTGCTGAGTCCTTTGAATAAGTGAAGGGGAACGACACATACCTCTGTTTCACCCCTTAGCTGTTCGTCCTTTCCAAAGTGGGACATTACACCACTCATTTGCCTGCCGTTTGATGCGTATTTTCGTATGTATGTGTTCTACGCAGATGACAGGCTTGTTTCCATTCTACGACATCATAACTTTCTGAAGGAGCTGCAGGAGATCGCTGTTCGAGGTGAGTCAAACATCACACAGCACGTCTGTTCGGGTGCTTGTTTACATGTGGAAAACAGGGCGCTTCAATAACTCATTTTAATTCTAGGTGGTCAGGAGAGAGCTCTGTTGCAGAGAGATGCTACAGCTGAACCAACCACACAGTCTCCTCAGACTGCGGATGATTTTGCTGGTGAGTTTCTGCGTAGGTTCAGACTCATACCTTCTGCATCATTACGCTTTCTTTTCATTTCAGTCACCTACATTTTCAGGATTATCTCTTATCAGCATTTAAAAGTGCACCAGCTGTCAAAAATGATGCATCACTTTCATTATTTCCTATTTTATATTGCCAGCAAAGCAGGGCTGACAAACAGAGGAGATATGCTGAGGTTAATTTTAACTTTGCTGATGCTCTCTGTTGAAAGAATCAGAACAACCCTGAGGTGCTTCCACCTGACAACACATGGCTTTTTGTTTACTTAGTGGCATACTACCTGTAAAGCACACAGTGGGCGAGTAGCAAAGTACAGCAATGACTAATAAGATCCACCATTCCTGATCCTGTTGGTTTCCTGACAGCGAGCCTTATAGGGACAGTAGTATTTATCCATGTAGATTGTTTTGTCAGTTGCCAAGTGTTGAAGATATCCGGAGAGACATTACCATCAATTCTTCCTAAGCTCCATTAGAACAAGTAGCTACTAATCAAAAAGGCGTATAATGTTATCTTGTCATTGTCACAAACATCTGAGCTTAACGATGAAAACAGAAAAAAAGGTAATACCTATATTACATTGTGATCCATTTTTGTAATGTATAATTACTTGCTAATGAAAGCTTTTCATTGCCACTAACTCACACGGTGTCAGATAGCGTCAGCGGCTTATATTAGTTAAGGTGATATTACTGTAATGTTTTGCATTGTTGATTAACCTTTTGATTATTTGTTGTGAACAAAAGAGGCCATTACTAATTCCCAGAGCCCAAGATGAGGTCTTCAAGTTGTTTCATTTGGGCAACATTTATTTTACAATATTACAAAACAAATGTTAACATTTAAGAGGCTGGAACATCAAAATTGGCATTTTTCTATCTATTATTAAATAATCAGTTTATTTGTGCAGTTATAATTTAAGTAACATCTTTGTTATTGTTAAATAGAAAGGCAGACACATTAAAGCATCAAACTATTTTATTTTTGTCACGTAAAACCGGACATACTTACCCACTCCATTAAGTGAAAGCACACAGATTTGAAAAGTACGACATGAAGTGGCATCATCAATAAACTGTTGTGCTTCGTGTAAGCACCTTCCGTTACCATCACGGGAAAATCAATGTTCTTTAGTAAATTAAACCCCCCCCCCCCCCCCCCCGATTTTCAGATCGATCCATGTTGGAGGCTTTAGGAGGCCCAGGTGAACGATCCATCCTGTCCCAGCAGAAGAGGGATGGAAATGGAGACAGAGAGGAAGGCAAGGAGGACAGCCGGGGAAATGGAGAGTCACAGGAGGACAATCACGTCGCTGGAGAGGTGAAAGAGAAGAGGGGAAAGAACGAGAGCCCAGGAAGTCACGCCTCCGAGTCTGAGGATGAGTCCACTGAGGGCAAGGCCGAGAAGAGGGAGAAAGAAGAAGAAGAAGAAGAGAAGAGAGCAAATTCAGAGGAGGAACACGTGATTAAGCAGAAGAAAGGCACGTAGACATGTCCTCTTTACTTTACTGTATGCCTCTCTTTCTGTTGGAATGAAAGAAACACAAAAATTGTAAATGAGAAAAAAAAGACATGTCAGAAAACATGAATATTTAGATCTTGATGTTTTCACTTCCATTCAAATCTTGTGTTTTTATGTCAAGAATAATTACATCCAAGCTAATTAAAATATGCAAAAAGGTTGACCAAAGGCAGATAGCAGACTCTTTAGATAGGGAGAGTGCAACGCTTTGTAGTTGAAACCGCCTGCCTCCACAGGACTGTGTGATTGATGGAAGTGCTTCCATCTGCATGATGAAATCAGCCCCCTGACAGGGGAGGGGGCCTACAGGCTGGCAAACTGACAGCACACCAACAGAGATGATTAAATGTCTGCACGTCCCAGAATTCAAATGAGCTAGTTACAGCTGGATTACTTAACCATACTCTCTATCCTTATGTCGAGACTGAAATCAAGATTTGGTTTTAATCTCCAGACCTTTCAACAGATTAACAGAGGGACTATTCTTCTCTGAGCTGAAATGGCAACTTACAATGAAATACCTTTTCTCTCAAAGTGAGCCTCTGCCAAGTCATCTAAATGCTCCAGCCATGCTTTTAGTTCTCATAAAGCACAGCCATCAGTGTTGGGGGGGCAGAGCTGCCAGCTGGCAAGACATATTTCATTAGGAGAAGTGGAATCTTGCTGATGTTGGAGAGTATGAGCCTGCTGTAGTGAAGTGTCACAGTAAAAAAACAACATTATTTATTTTCATATTCAGGTGCTGGATCTGGTGAAAAGGGAGATGCTCCCAGTTTTAAATCAAAAGAGAAGACCTTTGTTGAAGAAGAATGGGACGATGTCAAGAGATTTGCACCAGAGAAGAAACAGGAAGAGGATGAAAGAGAGACGAAGAAGGAGGGGAGCCTGAAGCGATGGGTCAAGAGGGGCAAGGCTTTGGCGTTAAGGAAGAAAGCAGTCGGAAAGGAGCTCAACACAGAACAGGAGGTGCCACATCACTCGCAAGAGCTCACGGAGGAAGAGGAGGAGAAGAAGAGAAACACCCAGGAGACTCCAGAGGAGAAGGAGCTGCAGATGATCGCTAGAAGGACACCTGAGGAGAGGAGCGGGCTGGAGGAGGAGGGGGGGAGCGGCAGCCGGAAGACAGAGGTGTGCAATCCACCCCTTTATCTCCTTACAAGTGTTAGGGCTCTGTCAAGCAGCTGCAATTAATACAGAGTTCAACTTGTTGGGAAACAAATTGGTTTGCTTTCTTCCTGCGAGTTAGATAAGAAGATTGCTTCCACTTGTATAGTGAATGTAAAGCTACTGACAGCAGCAAGTTAGCTTCATTTAGCTAAAAGGCTGGGTCAAGGCAGAAACAGATAGCCAGGTTCTGTCAAAGCGTAGCAAACTGTAACTGTTCACGCTTATGCTAATATTTTAACATGGTATATCTTGTTTTTCTTGTTAACTGGTAACACATAGTCAGGCTGATAACTACTTTGTAAATCTGCACATTTTTTTAACATTTTCTACAGATTAAACAACTAGATTTAACTTATTGAATATCAAGTTAGAAAACTTAATTTGAAGTTATAGGGGTTTTGGACAAAGACAAGCTAGCTCTTTCCCCTTGTTCCCAGTCATTAAATTATGCTAAGCTAACAGCTTTTTGAGCTAGCTTGAAAGTTAGCCTACAGATATGAGAGTGGATTCTATCATCTCACTTAACTTTTGTCTAAAAGCAAATAAACATATTTCCCAAGTTGTTAAACTGTTTCGTTAAATATTAACTTTATTTATGATTAGATTTTCTACATTCCAAGGCTAGCAATGGTTGTAGCTGCATGTAGCTGGTTTGCTAGCTCAAGCCCAAACACTGATAAGGTTTCTGTGATTAACTGACAAACAAATAATGAAGCAGAATATCTCCTACAGTTTAAATCCCATAAACATACAAAATGGCGCAGCCGCTGCTTGACAGCGAGTTGTAATCATGCGGTTGGCTATTCATACTGGGCTTGTCTTACTAGCCACCAACTGTTACATATTTGTTGCAATAGTGTGAGGCTAAAGGAGGCGATTCGGGTGATATGGTGTTCTTGCTAACAGCCAAAACAGCAATGAATGGCAGCTGATTGTGTCCAAATACTTTTAGTGCTTTTGTTAAAGAAAATACATGATTGTTTGCACTCTAAAAATATTTGTCCTTCTTGCTCTCCCCTCATTATTTCAGCAGGAGCCAGAGATTGAAAGCCTGGCAGCCATCGAGTCAGAGCTGGAAAATGTTGCCCAGAAACTCCATGAGATGCGGCGAGGCTGAGAGAGAGATTGGCTTAAAAAAAGTTGACATCGCAACCTCCTCTGCCCCCTCGTCCTCCTCCGCTTCATCGGCTGCCTGTTTTACACAGATAGAGCGTTTGAGTATGTGACAAGAGTTTGTTATCTTTCGCTATTGTTCCAGAGGGTGCCCACTTGCTCCACACAGCTGCGGCCTCCTCTGTGTCCTCCTTTCCCTCGCATAGATTAGCATACAGTAGATGCACATAGCAGTAAGACTTGCATACTAAAAAACAAACAGATGCACAAGTTCTGTGCGTTCTAACACATAACAAATATTCAGAGCACACAGCAAAGCTCCTGTCAGTAGATTGACAACATGTTTCTCCCTTTTCTTTGACAATCAGCTCTCTCTTTTTTTGCATATGTATCTCGCCTGCTTCAAAATTATTTTAACACTGCAATTGGATTTGTGTTGAAGCATATGCAGGTTGAAACACACAGACAAGGTGAGGTTGTACAATAGCGGCATATATACATGTGCAGAGCTCTTTTTGCGATGCTTACCTAGGGGACAGATAAGAAGATGTAGATGCTTACTTATTACAGATACAGATGACTCTAATCATGCCAAGGCAATAAGTGAACATTTTTAGCAGATGATGAACTGCAATTCATTTATGTAAGAAAACCAATAAATTGAATAGTTTAACTTGAAATCTCTGTTTTGTTCATTCATTTTAATGCGTCTTTTAAATGAAATAAATAATTGCAAAAGAGTTATTGCAATAAACTCGGCTTTCTAACCCATTTACAACCGTCTAGGTATCTCAATGGATTGTTTAACTGTTGAAATGTACGTTTTTGGCGTCACTTGCATCACACAAATAAAGTGAAAACAGTAAAGACCAATTAAATGAAATTGTTTAACATAATAGTATATTGTATTTCTTACTCACACAGCACATAATGAACTTCTCATAAAAGATTCACACTATACAGTCTGCACCTGTGTGTTTGTGGGCGCTGAGAGTATGAATCATCCATTATTCATTGGTTGTTTCTATTAAGCAGAAAGAGCCAGCATTTGGACTCATACAGTGCGGTATTAAAAATAATCTCTGCATTTGGACGGCAAAATGTTGAGAGCTCTTCAGCAGAAGTAAAAATGGATTGAGGAGAGACAAGAATAGAGTGTGGGCAGAGGAGGAAATGCAAAAGAAAGTTCTGCTTGCTCTGGCAGCTTAAATAAATATAGCTGCTGTAGACTGAAAACTGTTAGGAACTGTGTCCATGGACAGTATGTACTAACCTAACACATATGTGCAAATACAGAGTCTAAAAATGGTTTTCCTTCATGATATGCTTTGGCACTGCTAAAAAAATCACATCAATTAAAAGGTAGCACTTATACTTATCAAACACTAAGCAAACATTTAAAAGATGGGTAGAGAAGCTAGGATTTACATTGTTAGACATATTATATAAATATTGTTTAACCAACTATTACAACTGTGGAACAGCGAGATTTATGTAAGGCTGTAAAGATCTACTCCTTATTAATATTTATGTAATGGATGTCAAAACAAGCTGAACATCGTATTTTTCTGAAGTCCATGACAGCACGTTGAAAAGGGCACCAGATGGCGACATTAGACAGTCTCGATGCTCTTTTCCAAAGGTGAGTGCTGTCAGCGAGGGACATCTTAAAGGCCACCACAGTCTCTCTTGAACATTTTGATTTTTCTTATTAATAACTTAAAAATCATGCAATTGCTAGTTTACTTTTGGAAAAGCATGAAACCCTTGCATCAAGCATATGCTAATACATTTTAAGCGCCCTCTTTTAGTTTAGCTAACATATATAAGGTTAACAGCCACCAATCTTGTGCATCATGTATGTTTTCTATGTGTTTTATAATGTTTTTATTTACTGAATAATGCATTACAATAAAATAAATTAACTTAGTTGAAAGTGGAACAACAACCCAACAAATGTAACTCCTGTGGTGGCAATAAAACCATCTGTATGCTTCATCATAAGGAAAACTCCCTGCTGATGAACTCATATGCTAATACTTGAGAGTGATACTAACATCAGTTAGTTCATTAATTCATAATTCATACTGGCACTGACGTTAAATATTAAACATTAAAAGGTTCTAGTTATGCAGATCGTTGTGATGTGATGCATTTACCTTTAATGCTTAGTTTGAAATTATTTTGGACCAAAGTGGAGATGTGTATCAAAGCTGAAGACAGAAAGATCGGAGAACACATTTGTATAAAAATATATAACATTTTATTTCCAGCTACAAAGTGAAACATGTAACAGTTTTGTCACACTTCTCAATAAAATAGTAAAAAATACACTATTGATACATTTGGAAGCACAGAACAAATGTTGCTTTTAAATTAACTTAAACTGTACAAATATAAACATTATTTACACATCAACAATAAAAAAGGAATGAAATAACAATTCTTCCAGTCTTTTCTTCTATTTCTGTGCAAAATAGACACTTTGTTCCGATAGACACTTGGTTACCTTCTTCTGACCTGAATCGGTAACAGTCGTCTTTTTTTTCTTTTTTTCTCAGTGCCATGGCAAAGCCCACTGTGTTCCTTATCTAACCTTATACTCAGCACGCTGCTTGCTTTCTCGTCCACATGCTGGTCGGATCTCTGACCTTTCCTCTACTCAGGAGCAAGGTGAACAGCGCAGACAAGGCCGACATTCAGGCCTGTGCTAACAGACACACACACACACACACACACACACACACACACACACACACACACACACACACACACACACACACACACACACACACACACACACACACACACACACACACACACACACACACACACACACACACACACACACACACACACACACAGGACACATTCAGACCTGTTTGCTCAGGGGAACACTGGCCTGCTGTGGTCTACAGCTGCTTAGAGTTTCCAGGTCTGGTCTGGGCTCTTAGGGTGGGGGGAGTTATTAGACACCTCATTTAGAGAGGAGGTCATGGTTTAGATAAGGTATACAAAATACAGTAAAAAGGACGGGTCTGTTAAAGGGGTTTCAAGGGGAATGGGCAGCAACCCGACAGTAGGTTTGTCAAAAATAGAAGTTATAGTGCAGGAATCTCTCGGAGCTGCTATGCAACCCTCTGTCTGAGTCTATGGGCTGATGTGCGCCAGCCGTACAAAACACACCGACACTTAGACAAGTGTCTGGACTACTTTTACAATGAGAAAATAAAACATAGACATATATAATGAGCTGCAAAATGAGATGGAGTTTTGTTTTTCAAGTCATAAGCTGCGATCGTTCTTTAAGTGGCTCATGCCATGTCTCCCATCATCTTCTTGTAGTACATAGACTCGAAGATGTCGTTCTCGCCGGGGCAGTTGTGGTGGCAGGCGCAGGACTTGATGAACATCATGTGCTTCTTCATGAACTGTCCATCTGGGCATTTGAACTCCATGGGCAGGGTGGTGGTTCTGTGGGGGGTGCAGCAGCGGCCGTCCAGGCACACGCCGCAGAACTTTGGCCTGTAGGACTTGGTGGTGGTGCAGCCGGAGATCTCAAACTTCATGGGCTTGGAGAGTCTGGGAGTACGGATGCACTTTTTCCCTTTCTGTAGGAGGAAAAGAAGAGGCAACACAACTTAGTTAAGCATTCTTTGAGTATTTGCCATTTCACTTTGACTCGGTTGAGGTTTTGAAAGCAGTGCTGTTGGACAAAAACTCACCCTAATGCTCTGCTCCAGCTGTGACTCGCATGGTCGCACCATACACAACCGGCTCTGTTTCTCCAGGCGGCATTCGCGGTTATCATTGGTGACCCTGGTGGAGACCCCAAGGCCGCAAGTCTTAGAGCACGCGCTCCATTCAGTAGTCTGAACCAGGCAGTTCTCCCTCATCATGGAGAGGTCGGGGCCATAGGTCTCTTCCTCTCTGTAAGCTGTAAACACAGGAGCAAACACTGGATTAGAAACATCATCTGATAATGCCTCCTCTTTATGTAAAGTCCATTGAATGAACTACACGTTTGGGTGGGTGCTCAAAAGAGAACTTACAGGCCAAAGCAGAGCCCATGAAGCTGTGTCTGTTGGGAGAATCACACTCCCATTCCTCGCAGCACTTCCCGGGCACCTTGACGCGTCTTGGCATGGGGCAGTCGGGGCTTGGCAGGCGGACGTCCATTGCGCAAAGTGGGACGCACCCCACAGCTCCATCCAGACAGGTACACTGGTACTTGCAGCTGCTCTGGAAAGACTCTCCGCTCTTGAACACCATGCCTCCGAACACACAGGTGGCTCCATCTCGAGCTGTTAAATGACAAGGGAAAGGTCATGATTCGGTTCAAACATTAAAGGCGAGATAATGATCTACAGCGGGGCGACGCAGAAAAACAAATGTCAATGGCTCACCTGTGCACACTCCGATGCGTCTGTTGATGGGGGCTCCGAAGTCACAGTAGAGGCCTTTGTGGGGGTCACAGAGGTCCTTCTCAGTGCAGAGCTCTCCCATCTGTTTGGCACACACCCTGCAGCAGCCGCAGCCGTCCAGCACGAGGCTTACTCCTAGGGGGCACTGAGGGGGGGTGGAGGGGCACGAGCACTGGTTGCTGCACTCCTGACCTGCAGCCTGAACACATACAGATACACTTATTTAAATATCATCTCCACAAAGTGTTTTAAAGTTATAGTTTCACATCCAGCACATAGAGAACACAGTCATTTTAACATTAGGCTTTTGTCACTATGAAAAGAGTTTAAAGACTCAATTTCAGACTATATTAAAAGTTTAAAAAGAACAGCAGTGAGATGTAATTCTCAATGTGTTTTTGACTTACCATGTGTGAGAGCATGATGCACAGGAAAGGCAGCAAAATCATTGTCTTCATTCCAGCAGACATCTTTTCTTCCTTGTAGAAATAGATTTGAGTTTTTTCCTTAAGTCTCGTTGAGAAAGTCTTCCGTTAGTCTCAGAGTTTGAGCTGTAGAAACCGTTTCTGATCAAGTTGATCTGTTGTCTCGTGGAGTTTCTCTTCAGCTCCGGTCACAGTCTGTTCTTTCTCTTGGTGAAAGCTAGAGGTTAGCTTCGGTAGAAGGAGTTGATCTGAGTTCTGACTGCGGAGCCCGGCTCCCTTTATACTCACTGGCCCTCGTAGCACGTCACTGGGGGCTGAATGGAGAGCCAGCCCTGGACAAACATGGACATACTTGGCATTCTTTCCTCGCTTCCTGACCCCCACTCCAGACATCCCACATTCCTGCTGTCTGAAGGCAAGGCTCTGCTGCTCGGCCAAACAACACCGTCTCTCTCTCAGAGCGGGCTTTCATCTGGAATGGGAGGTTAAAGTCTGGTTAGAGGCCTGGGACCCCACACTGGGAATTCCTGGAGACTGACTTCACAAACAGACAGCCGGTACCTATAAATATTAATTTAAAAAAAAGATGAAGAACATTTTTTTTTCAGCTCAGTTCAAAAGTGAAGGCACAAAAAGCTTTGAATGAAAGAAGAACAGTTCAAAAAAACTCTTAAAGATGCATCCACATGAGACGGATAAATAAAAATGCTTGATGTGTGATGAGTGGTTAACACTGTAAGCCCACTACAGCATTCCTCAGCTTCAAAGGCTGTACTTTCATAAATTAGCAGCATGCTGTTAGGGAAAGGAAGTTCATTTGACTCATTAACTTGAGCTGCTTATCTAACAAGGTGCTTGGCCCCCGCTGCCTGCCTCCTGTTAGTTTGTCTTCTGTACTCCTGTGGTTACATCTTGGACACCGCCATGGCATTTTTCTGCACTGACATCAGTGGCTGAACTGCAGCTTTAAGCACTAAATATTAAAACACATTATGAGCCCATTATGATCTCTTGTGCAGCAGGAGTGAAGCATTTGGTTCACAAACACTTCTCTTTGCTCCTTTTGTATGATACTTAGGATATACAGATAAGATAAGAAGCATTTCAATCTGTTAATGAAGTAACAGTTATACAATAATGTAAAAAATACTGTTTATTAGAAGTCCTATAATAATACTTGTTTTTGGCCTTAGTGACTGTATATACACAGTAAGATTGTTAAAGGTGCCATGTCATGGCCATTTCCACTGATCATAATTCCATTGTTGAGGTCTACTAGAATAGATTTATACTGTGCAATTTTCCAAACTCACATTGGTTTCTCATACAGCATCTCTGTATAGTATGTGTATTCACCAGGTATTCACTCTCTGTCCTAAACGGCTTGTTGGAGCTCCTGCCCCCCTCCCTGTGAGCCCAGTGTGCTCTGATTGGTCGGGACGTTGCGAGGCTCGTTGCTGCGAGGAGCGGACAGGCTTCCGGGTCGGCGATACAGCGAGAACAAGCGAAACTCATCCTGAGCACACACAAACACTCACAGGCGAAGTAAAAACAATAAGTGTGGCTTGATATTGAGTAAGAAAAAGGTTTATAACGCTGTGAGAATGGGTCTGCGGAGAGCATTTCTCCGCGATCCCAACTTAGCAGCCCGAAAAACGTTTACCCATTTAAACAGTCGTGGTAGATACCTTGTTTGTTTTAAACATCATAAATACACAAACAACAATGAATACTTACAGGTTGTGTACCCGAATCTCCCGCTGGTCCAAACAAAGTAGGAACAGCATCGTTCTTCAGTGCCCTACGCTGTACATATCCGGCATGAATCGCTGAAAGGTTTGTGAAGCTTTGTTTCGTGAAAGGCTGGCAGAGGGTGTGGCCTCTGGGTATTCCCACGTCACAGTACCCAGGAAGTAAACAATGGAAAATGAGAAATCTCCAACGAGGCGTTTTGGGGCAGCATAGACTGTGTTAGAGTTTTACTCGCTACAGGGTGTACTTTGAGGGTTTTTGACTCTGCAGACCGTTTACATGCATAAAAACCTTCATACCACACAAGGGGACGGGTAATAACCGGAAAAGCATGACATGGGACCTTTAATACTTTTAAGTCAATGCAATGCAAAGTGTTTTCTAAGTATTGTAAATGGTCCAGGTGGAGCTAGTTGTAACTACAGTGTGTACAGTAAAGTATTTCCCAATCTAGGGCTTGAGGCCCCCCTAAGGGTCATAAGATAAATCCAAAGGGGTCGGGAGATGATCTTTTGAGTGGAAAAGATGAAAAAACAAGGTTCTGATACACAGTTTGTAAACATTTCATTCTTCTTTTTGCTTATTTTGGAAATATTGGGTCATTCAAACAATTGTTTATGTCAGCATCTGAAATATAACAGAAATATCTCTTTAATACAGGGCAAAAAAGGTTGGGAACCATCCATTCATATTTTTAGAATGATTTGCATTATATGGCTTATATTTTTTAAGTGAAATCCTAATCTTTACAAATGTAGTGTAGTAAAATAGTATAATATCTGCCTGTGAAATGTAGTGGAGGAGAAGACTAAAGTAGCAGAGCTATTAAAGTGAAGAACCTACAATATGTACCTTCTTCATCCAGATTCCCTTATTTATGATACTTATAAATGATACAAGTCATATGACACTTAACCTAATGGATTTAGCAAATGGTTGAAATAATATTTGCTATGTCTGTCGTTAATTTCTGCAGTTAATCTGACAAGATGATCCTAATGGTCTGTTTCCTGCGCTACCTGAGCTGAGTGACCTGCCAAGGTATGCAGGGCAGGTATTCAGGGACAAAGAAAACGTTCTCAGGTAATGGCTCTTCCCGTAACGGATCTTTGTTGAATTCAGCATAAGACTGCTTTACCTAAAAGGAGGATTCGGCTGAAAACAAAAGCTTGGGGATTTTACTTTTTTGTCCAGGGGTCTTAGTCAGGACAAATGATGATTCAAAATCCTGAGTCGACTTAAAGGTAGGGTAGGTAATTTTGGAGAAACCAGCTCGAGTGTGCTAGAATTTGAAAATACACAGCCGGAAGAAATCTGCCACTTCCTTACAGAGCCCCTCCTCCAACACACACGAACGCGCACATGACCAATGAGGGCACGAGATAAGTTTGTGCACAGATGGAAGGCTGACAGGTAGGTAGGCCATCCAGTTATTTTAGCCAGGCCATACTTTTTACAGTACTACGGCTTCCACAGATGACATTTTTTTATGGATTTTTTGTCAAAGCACTTAAGATATTCATTGCTATCGGGATGTTAAGAGCATTCCATGGAATATAACAAAAAGTGTATCTCGAGCCGGTTTCTCAAACTTACCTACCCCACCTTTAAGTGAAAGTGCGGCCCATGAAAGCACGAGGGGCAGATATTACGGGAACAAAGACTACGTTCTCTGGCTTGTCACCTGCCTAATGAGGTTTAGTCTATGACGAACTTAAAAAGGCCAGGTGTGCCCTGTCCCTGGCCAGGCTTATTTTACTACATCAAACCCCAGAGTGGAGGATTGCAGGAAAGGGGCTAGACGGAGGTTTGTGTATTTTTTGCATAAGGGGGATCACACACACCAGGCGAGACTCTTATGAAAGGCGGCCCTGCTCCTTCTTCAGCCAGCGAATCGGAAATGAAAAACTCCCAGAGAAACCTGGAGCAGGAGGAATGTGAGAGAGGAGCCAGCAGACAGGGCTGTTACTACAGAGGAAGCCTTTCCATATAAGGACGTCAGCTCTTTTCCTAATATGGATACGTTCTCTGTCTATGCTGCCGCAGTACAGTAGGGACCCCTTTTAGAACGTCTGACCTAGGAAAAACACAGAGTGAAAGTGTGTTGTGTGTGTGTGGAGTATTTTGTCTGTCAAAACAGACCAGGGAGAGTGTGTGCGTGTGTGTGTGTGTGCTGTCAGTCTAGTCATTACAGCACCAAGGCCAAAACTTCCACTCCATGATATCTAAAGGAAACAGCTTGATAGAGGAACGTGCTTCGGCCACGCTGCAAAACAACACTCAAACTTGGCTTTGACATTTCTATCTTCCATGCAGGCTAATGGAGTTTCTCTCAGCTTATTTTACATCACAGGCAATTTCTTTAATGGTGTTGAGGGATGTTGTTTGAAGATAAAGTCAAACTCTGTTGTAGTTTTCAGTTTTGATTTGAACAGATAGCATCAAGTCTGGCCAATTTAAAGAATTAAAGGTATGTCTGAGTGGCATTTTATGAATAAGAAGTCTGTCAATGGCAAGATTATAAGAAAAATGTAAGGTCAACAGAGAGCCAAAAGAGGTTGATTCCTGTTTGTTGTGACTGTTATTGCAACTGTGAGTGTAGTTACCGTTATCTGGATATTGTTTTGTCTGCTGGTTGTTTTTCACTGAGCTCACTCTTTCAAGGTTTCCTGTTCTGAATATCAGGCCACATGCTTCACTGTTCTGCAGATCTGGATGGGTTGACCGCGGAGGCCAAAGGAAACATGGCTCTGTGTGTGGTAGGCTCAGATATGTCAAGGCTAAGTATAGAGCGAGATATTTGTTTAAAAGAATAGCCGTGGGTTAAAATCAGTAATGGAACTGTGTGGTGATACAAATGTCAGGGGAGTCTGTTCCAGCTTTGTGCTCGTTGGCGTCGGTGTTGTTGAACATACCTGCGTGAAAACTGTCTGACCTTAAGTCTTCTAGTCTTTCACTTGTTGGAAACATATTGTCTAAACCAATTAATGTGAATCTATGCTGGTGATAAGTGGATTCACTGATACGGTTAGAGTAACAATTACATTGTTAAACAACTTTATGTCATAATTATAAGATTTCTATGTGAAAGTCAAAATATGTTCAGCTTTAAATCATTTTATTAATTAACCTATTTGGGAAATTGTTTCATCTTTTGTTGTGTTCCAATAATAAAATCTCCAGCCAATAAAACAACAATATTAAAACATTAACAAAATAGGGCCTCTCTGTCTGGCCTTAATTTCAATTAATCTTTCAATAACTGATTTTGTAAACGGAACAATTACGTATTA